GTTTCTGTGATTCTGTGATTCTGTGAAAGGACTACTCACTGTGGGCCAGGAGAATCTTCTCAAACCGCTTATCTTATGAGAGTGGGGTTCTGGCCAACGGCCCTTGCTTGCTTTATTTCACAGTCTTTGAATTTACGTATTCAAGTTCTTCTTGTTAACATGGTTATTTTGTTTTATGAGTTTGTCTCTGAAAGATAGTCTTAATTTACGCTGAAGGGAAGCTTGTTTCTCTTACGCTTATATTCCTGAAGTTGATCCTTACTATCTGTTTCTGGCAACAGATGGTTTGCTGGATGGTGTAAATAAACTATGGGCTGTAACTGTCTGTGGGGAACCTTGTGTGAAGAACTTCCACTGGAGCATAACTTTATTACTGGTTTGCAGTAGCAGCCTCTTTGCTGGAAAAAGCCAGCAAAGGGAGGTACTGTTGTGTTTGCATTACACATTGTCTTGTCGTTGAGAAGAAATGCCAGCTGAGAAGTACTTCTGTAGAGCCTCAACAGTCAGGCTAACCGATTTTTTGCTGTCTGTCATCCACTGTTCATTGCATGCACCCGTTCTCACATGGGCGTTTAATTATTGCTATGGTTGCATGTTCAACCTAAGGCTCTAACTCCCAGAAGCTCACAGTGAGTTGAGTATTTCTGTGTAACAAAATGGAGTTTTAAGATAAAAAGGAGAAGAAAAGGGTTACTTTTTGTTTTTCTATTATTTTGAACTTAGCTTGTCTTCTAGTTTTTTTGGAAACCCATAAAATAATTTAAAAGGCCTTCTTCTATACGTCACTGCACATTTCATTTGATATTTTTTGTAGGGACTATTTAGAGGCACTAATTTGTCCTAGATTTTATATGAATCCAATTAATTCAGGTCACAGAGCAAGAAATAGAACTGACTAGAAAAGTCAGTTTCAAACATTATCCTGACATGTTGTTGTAAGCCTGTGGCTGTTTTATGGCAAGAATGGAGAGAAAAGTAGAGCAGGAGAATGCTACTAGAATGTGTAGCTAATGACCACTATTATAAACGATTATTATTAAGATTCCTTAAACATTGCTTTTTACCATCATGTTTTCATCTCTAGTGGAAATTCTGAATGCCTCTTTTCTACACAAAAATGAATGTTTCTGTGAAAATTTCAGCAAAACCAACAAAAGCATTTTCCAGTAATAGAAGAATGGGGAATATATTTTCTTTCAACTCTTCTTTTTTGATCAGTTGCATCAGAGACACAGAAAAAAAGAGACTGAAAGATGGTAGTATGTTCACTAGGGAGGTGTGAAAGCTAGTTTCAGTTTGGGTGAGCTACAGTTGTTTGAAGACTTGCATAAATATGAATCACTTGTGATTTATATTTCATCGAAAGATGACGAGACGGTCGGCTGCAGTATGTTATTTGCAAGTAGCTGAGGTACCTCTGATTCATGCCCACAAGTAAGGCTTCAGCTGCTCTGGTACGCAACCCATTAAAGGTGTCCGTGGACATAAAATCATTGACTGCAGTACGTATTTAATCATGCCCTAGTGAGCAAAAAGTGAACACTGAATAAAGCTGTGTCTTACAGGTAGGCCACATGGATGAAGGTGGGTGGCGACTGATCCCTTTACTGCAGTCTCATTTAGCACAGGAGCTGGCAAATGATGAAATTTGATGGCACTTTTTTTTTACTGTGAAAGATACATTTCATAGGGTTGGATGTGACTTCTTAATAAATGTGAAATCCCTGCTTTCTTAGCACTCACATAGACCTCAATACCAGCAAGCTGTAAACTATAAGCTGCAAGTAGGGGCTTATGTACATAGAATAGTGCCAGTGCTTGCTGGAATAATCCTAGCCACCTAAATAGCTTTTGTGGAGTTGGTATGGCCCCTGCTGAGGAGTACAGCAGGCAAAGAGGGTGTATGGTACTGACTGTAAACGGTTTTCATAATCTGTCTGCTTTGCTGTAGATAATAATGCCATGAGAGCAAATACTGCAGGCCAATAGCACATGGAGAAAAATAATGGGAACTTATTATGGATAAAAGTAATTGCACATTTCATGCTTTGCTTTTTGTAATCAGTCCATCAAGTCAAACAGTAAAAAACATTAAACACCAGTTTTCCACAGAACTCGGTAACTTGTTAGCGGCCCTTAAAATATTGATACTATTATCCAGGTTGCTCACAGTCCAGTGCGGATCAGCATTTAGCAGTTGGTTGAGCTGTGGTTAGTCGAATTGATGAACTCGGTGGACTGACAGTGGGAAGCAGAATGTGCCCCATGGCTGCAGGCTGACTGCTGCGTTACTTCTCCCGGCCTGTAGCAATTAAGTCAAATCATGCTGAGGAACTGTGTCTCCTTTAACTGCATGGTAACTATTCAGGCTTTGGGCATCTGTGGCCTTGTCCATCAAGCACTATGCTTTTGCGGTCTTTTGAAGAGCTCCTTGGCCCTAAGCAAGGGAAACAAAACATTACCTTGTCTAGGAGAGCAGGAGTGTTTATGTGAGAAGCACCTTGTTATTCAGAAAAGATACTCTGGTTTTGATAGCTTTTGTCTAAATCAATGCCAAACAGGAACTGAAGGTACAGATAACAATAATCACTAAATGTTTAATCCAGAAAATATCCAGCAAAAGTAGATCTCAATCCATATTAATAGGATATTTTTTCTTTTTTTTTTTTTCCTTTCAATATACTTCATTAATGTTTTTGCAGAACCAGGATCTTTATCTGTCTCTACAGTGTGTGGGCATATCATGCCCTGTATCATCATGAGATTTCAGGCACTTTTATAAAGGTTATATGTAGTGCATACTTAAAGCCACTTTTGACATTTAATTTAGGAGCCTCCCTGGGGGGGGACCTAAATTCTTATGCAGTCAATGGAAAGAGGGAGCTGCCTCTAAAGGGCATCTGATTGGCGTCTGACTTAGATGACTAAAATAACTGAGGGACCTGATGTGATACTATCTGTTAAAATCTAACTCTGCCCAAATGATGTCACACTTGTCTACAACGTCTGTAGAGCCTTCTCCCCCTTATTTTGTCAATTGGTTGTTCCAGTTTTATCTTGTTTTTGTTTTGGTGTATGAAAATCTCTCACATTTATCTTTTGACTGATAATGCTTTATTTTGCCTTCAGCTTGTTTTCATATAATCTATTTCATACTGGTTTTGTTAATATTGCTGTACTTAAGATATATACTGGCTCCCCAGGGCATTGGCTTTATCTACTTTGCAAGTAATATTGTGTGTATAATCCCACTGAATTGCAATTATATCCGCCAATCAAACTTCATGACTCTGTACAGTTGCTGCCTTGTAACTACACATTTCATACTTCATTATGAAACTTTTGGCAATGTAACTTGCAGCCTTTAATCAGCTTGAATGCAGGAGTTTTGAAGTGCTGGGGCTGTCAGAAATAATGTGTGAAGCCACAGCTTGTTTTGGTGACTGTAGTAGAATGACGGGATGGCAAAAGGTTAAGGAAGTGGACATGCAATGTAGGTACATTGGTTATTTTTGGAAGTGATACTCAAAGTTCAGAAATGTATAGCACCAAGAACAATTTCAGGGATTGAAAGAGGAGATTACATAATGCCAAAGTAGTAATAATTTAGCCAGGCAGGAGCTGGGTGACCAGGCATGGGTTTATGGGTGAGGTGTGAAAGAGGAGAAAGCTTAATCTCCATGTGCCAGCAGGACATTGTAGGGAGTGCATCGATGGTCTGGGTGTGCTCCTCTCCCTCTAGACTGTCTTCTGGGTGGTAGGCATATACACAGCGTAAAAATTACTAAAAGATTTAATAAAGACATAACTTCCTTATTGAACTGTCAGTTCTTCACATGGTATCTTTAACTTTCTTCAAAGTTAGGCAGAATCACCTTTTAGGAAAGCGTGCTTTTGTCAGAAGCAGATGTTTTGGCTCCAAAAGGTTAACCTGGGTAGCTTCCTTCTACTTTCTGTGTTTTGCAGGTGATCAGACTATGTATAGTCCAGTGTTCTCCTCAGCTCTTAAACTCTAATTTTAAAATGCTCCAAATTAAATTATCATTATCTTTTTTCATTTAAAAGATAGGAATGTTCTATTAAACCCAATGGTCCCCTGGCATTTCTGAGGCTGTATGTGCATGTGCACTCATGAAGTTTTACAAAGCACCGAGGCAGGCATGCAGAGATGGCAGAGGCTTTATCAAGGGGTGAACTGTAGCACAGAAGGAGCACAGAG